CAAATCATCACGAAATTTGTCCCAGTTTACTCGTCCAGTGATCAGTTTAGGAAGTGATGGTTTAGGAGCAAAGTCAGAATGTAGTGAAAGCAGAACTGGACTATGGTCTGAAGAAAGGTCATCCAGGGATTTGATTATAGTTTGGGAGGAGGAAATCTGGGAGGTGATAAATATGTCCAGGATATCGGGACGTTTTTTGAGGGATGTTGGAAAATAAGTAGGATTCATGGGCGAGAGGATGGAATAATTGTTGGAAGAAGAAACTTGTGAAAGGGTATTACCACGGGAGTTGGATGATCGACAACCCCATCGTTGGTGTTTAGCATTGTAGTCTCCTCCAGCAATAAAGCGCGATCCGAGGGATTGTCGGAAAAATAAAAGTTATTGTCGTTAAAGGATATCTCTGGAGCAAAGCCAGAAGAGGAAGGTAGAGAAGAGGTTTTAGCGACAGATATAAAATAAGAGTTTAAATCATCGGAGGATACAGGATAGGCTGCGGTAGGGGATCTGGAAGGATTACCAATGGAAAGTTTACGAAGCTGTAGCCATTTCGATTTGATATCAGGAGCTGAGGAAAGGGTTTCATGGAAGTAGGAAGCTTATGGAAGCTTAATATTGCTTTTCTTGTTAAAAGTAGAGGAAATAGTGAAGTTTGTGTGATGCGGGCAACAGATATTCCTACTTTCACTTAGTTATCTTTTTTCTCTCATTCACCCCTTTCTGACACCAAGATAAGAACCCGGTATCTTACATTGGAAATTGAATAGCTGTAACTTCGTTAATAGTTCCGAATGAATTATTCCGAAATGAAAGATTTTAATACAGTTTTGTAGAGAATTCCATTACCTTTCAAAAAAACAAGCTAAAATGTGCTATGAGCTCTGAAACGTATAGATCCGTCAAAAACCGCATATCGGAAATTTGACCCGATCGGTATACTTACCTTATAAAATAGAATATGCTATCACTGGTTCAAAAAATATAATAGAGTGTCATCGCTAATGCTGGTTCGATTCCGATGATTTTTTTTTTTACAAAATCGGTTCAGTAGTTCCCGAGAAAATCTTGGCGCAGACATACAGACAGACAGACGAGACAGACAGAGACTGATAGACAGACAGACCAATGGCAAAAAATGTGTTTTTCGAAATCATGGGGCTCTGAAACGTATAGATCTGTCAAAAAACGTGATATGTCCTCAGACACATCATTCTTTGAGTTCATCTCTGATCCAAGGTACAAAAAAGTCTCTGAAATTTATAGCGACCAATACCTAGCAATGCGATATGGTCTCCTCCACAACCGGCTTATATATATTTAGTTTTTTTCTTATTGACTGTGATGGCAAATTCTCTGGCAGCTGTTTCACAAGCAATAGACGCCTTTTTTCTATTCTCCCCTTCCTCGGCTTTTAGGTAATACGGGGTTTTCCCGGGCCAGGTGGCCGGGAGGGGAGGGGGAGGATTTGTGCCAGAGTTAAAAACTCAACCAGCACCGTAACGCGAACTTTGCTGAGGCGTTGCGCATACGCGTTAGCCCACCCCTAAGCAATAAACGCCTCCTTTAATGTCTGTCTTGACCTACATCGGCGTACGATGTCTACATCATCGGTATATCCCAACAGCTGCACAGTACAGTTAAAAATTGTGTCCATTGCCTGAATTTTTATTTTTCGGACAGCAATTTCTAATGCCAGATTGAATAGTAGGCAAGTAAGTGCACCTCCTTGTCTTCCTCTCCTCCGCTACTAGTTTCAAATGCTTCGGATAGATTTGACCCCATACGGACTTCACATTTTGAGTTTTTCATATTCATCTTTACTAATATTGTATTTTTTCCTGGGACTTTAGGCTCTTCTAGGGTCTTGTACAGTTCATCTCTAGCATTTGCTTAAAATATCGCACCCACTTTCGCAGAACTTGATCCTTCTGAAGGAGGAGTGTTGCATCCTTGTTTCTAAAAGAGGTGACTTTATGGGAAAATGTTTTCCTTCCCTCATTAACTCTCTGAAAGAATAATCTGGATTCATTAGCATTTTTAAAGTTTTCGATCTCGCTGAACTTCTTACTTTCTCAAGCTCTCTTCTTTTTCCTATGTATTCGTTTTTCTTCTCTTCTTATCTCACTGTGTATCTGAGCTTACCATCTTGTGTGGCACTGCAACATTTTCATATAAGCCAAATGTTCTCTCAGCCGCTGCATTGAGAGCTTCAGAGCATTTTTTTCCATTGCTCTACAATGCTATTAGCAGATGAGTTCATCATTTTAACAAATTCTTCTTTAAGACTATTCTGATACGTATTGATACTTCCCTCTCCTTTAGCTTATCAATGTTATATCTTCTTACAGAGTAATTTTTAGAGAATCTTGTAACGGATATTCTTGTTATTATTTTGGCTATACTTAAATAACGATGTGTGTCCATGTTCTCCTCTCTAAAGATCTAACATTCATCAAATTGCATTTGTGACAAAGTTCAATTAAGAGGTAATCTACTTGATTAGGCAAAATGTCATTAAGTGATACCAAGTTGCCTTTTGGATCTTCTTTCCTTGAAAACCTGCAGTGCCTAGGATTAGTTCATAGTTAGGAGCGAAACTTATTATCAGTTGACCATTGTCGTTGCTTTGAATGTGTAGACATCAATGAATTCAATATATTGGTATTCAGTGGCGAAAAAGAGAGAAGTAGCTATAATTCACGGGTGAAGTTAAATCCTGTATTTAATCAATCGATTTGTACTAATTGAATTAATCCGTGTGTTTAATTTTGTACTAATTAATGTATCCCTTTCCTAAAAGATAAATTCCGTGAGACCTTCGGAGAGAGAGAGTTCACCGTGAGAAGCCTCTGATCTGGGTCTCACGGAACTATCCCAAAAAGAACAAGGAGCTTCCTCGAGAAACTAGGTGTCGACATTAAGGACGGTAGCGAGGTTGGCTGAAAATATAGTTCTCGACTTCCTGGGAATCATTCACCACCACGTGCATGGCTAGCCCGAGAGTTTTAATTTATGTATTTATTTATTTATTTAATGAATAATTGAAAACAATAGAGATAAAGAGAGAGAAGTGAGAGAAAGGGAAACTAAATGTTAAAAAAAAAAAAGCATGAACAATGAAAGGAAGGAAAAAAAAATGGAAAAAAAAAATAATAAAAATGTATATATATATATATATATATATATATATATATATATATATATATATATATATATATACATTTTATTATTTTATTTTTTTTCCCTATATATATAGGAAAAAAAAAATATATATATTTTACTAATATTAACTAATACTTCTGTATATTTATATATAAGTTCATATATTGTCCTAAGGATAGAAGAGTATGCTGTGTATATAGCAACTTAATATAATTGGGCAGCAATCCTTTATATTTTATGAAAATAAAGTGTTTCTCTCTCTTCAAAATTAATTATTATAATGATGTAGAGTTGGTTGACCGTTGATATGATATGAGAAGGAATTAGTCGAGGGTGCGGTCAAAAAATAAAAAAAATTAAAATATATAAATAATTTTAAAATTTTAAAATTATTTATATATTTTAATTTTTTTTATTTTTTGACCGCACCCTCGACTAATTCCTTCTCATATTAATTATTATAATTACAATAAGCATTAATTATGATAAAATTAAAATACAGTTGACTTTATTAACTATTCTATGTCATAAGAAATGATATATGAAAATTAATTAAAAATATAAACTTTAATAACATTATAGCATTTCACAGTATAGCCATAGAAAACATAGATATACTCCCCGGATGTTGATTCCTAGAATTCCTTTGATGTCCGTCAAAATATCAACACCTGGTGGAACATGCTCTAAACACGAATGTTCATTATTAAGCCTCTGAGGTGAACAACATGCCCTGAATGTTCAGAGTATTGTGTGACCGGAGCAATTGACGAATGCTCGTTACGTAACAGTCGCAACAGGGCATATTCCTACATTCACACAACGTTATAGCATCAGAGCATTCTCTTGCATTCTTACGGTTGGTTTATACCTGGGATGTTACAGAAACTTTTTTTGATAAAATAAACACCAAAAATACTACATAATATCATCAATCGTCGACATTTCTACTATTTTATAGAAAAACTTTCTAAATATTCTGAATGAATATGTTCTATTGATGTATAATTTTTTACATCAGTTAGGAATCGCCCACCTTGTAAAGGCCTTTCACATCTTAAAGAACGAATTTTCAAAATTTATTTTCTCCTTCTTGTCCAAATTTATATTATTGAATTAGAAATAAATGTTTTCATAGAAATTAAAATATTAAAATAAAAATATTAATAATAAAATATTAAAATATTAATTTCATAGAAATTAAAATAATTAAAATACAGTTGAATTTATTAATTATTCTATACCATAAGAAATGATATATGAAAATTAATTAAAAATATAAACTTGTCTTGGACATATAAATTTGGATTTATATTATTGAATTAGAAATAAATGTTTTCATAGAAATTAAATGAAATTTCATTGAAAATAAATGCAAATCTAAAAAAATTATTTTTAACTTGACAAACCAAAAATATATAGTGCAAAGAATTTTTATAGTTTATATTAGTTACTGTAAGCTTATATTTATAATTATACCATTTCTGTTTTATACTAATTTTCGTTTTCCCAAAAAAAAATTGAAATTTATCCTAAAAATAGTAGGGTAAATGAAAATTGTTTGATACACTCCATTAGATGTTTTTTTTTTTTTTACAGTATGATAATCCTATCTTCGTTTATGATTGACTTGAGTATGCTTAATAAAAACTGAAAATATTAATAAATATTATAAATAAATATAATCGGATAAATGGATAACCAAAAGTTATATACTTATGTTTGTATCTTTATGTTTTGATTTTGCTGGTTATCAATGAAGGTACTGATTTTCATCTTATTAGATAAATAAAAAAAAAATCATTTATAACTAATGATCCATTTTTTACCTCACTTACCTAAAACAGCAATAGAGTCGAAACTCATTAAACCAAAAAAAACAGTTTCTCCAATGTCTTGAAATATTGTTTGAGATTTATAACCAGATCTAGTTGGGCGAATATCAATGAATAAGTATAAACCAAAAATTATAGTAAATATTATTATCATACTGATTGAGGTGACAACCATAATGAAAACTTTAGCTGTACGTATTGACCACGATTCCAAATCTGGGGGAAGAAGATACAATTATAAAATGTGTAAATATATTCTGGTCAAAAATGAATAAGAATATTGTTAGTTATGCATGATTTATTTTATCTAGAATTTTTATTTTATATATATCTCTAGCTCATCGCCTTAAGGTTGGTTTATACTTGGGGTGTTACAGAAACTTTTTTTTGATAAAATAAACTACCGAAAATACTACTTAATATCACCAATTGCCGACATTTTTACTATTTTATAGAAAAACTTTCTAAATATTTTGAATGAATATGTTCTATTGATGTATAATTGAATGCTCTTTTACATCATTTAAGAATCGTCCACCTTGAAGGCCTTTCACGTCTTAAAGAACGAATTTTCAAAATTTCTTTTTTCCTTCTTGTCGCAAATGCGACAGAGAGCCAGAAACACCAGCACATATGCTTGGAAAATGCCCCAACAACTCCCTCCTTATAACACGCCGTCACCACAGAGTCAAACATGAACTGATGAGGCTCCTTAAAGAGAGAGATTACGCCTGTTTCGATGAAGTATATTGTATAGATATGGATGGATCCACTCGATATGCCTGCCCTAAGACGTGGAAGTCGGCAATGATTTTGGATCCTACCGTGAAGTATGAGACCAATGACCTCGATCAGGCAGGCAAAGTGGAAAGAGAAAAAAAAAAGACCTATGAGAAATGCATTCCTTTCCTTAGTGAAAAGTTCCGCGAGAGTTTCGGGCCGAGAGAGTCCACGTGAGAGGCCTTTGGTTCGGATCTCGCTGAATGATACCAGACTCAACAAGGAGCTTCATGGAGGGCCTTGGTGTCGACATAAAGGACGTGGCAAGATTGTCGGAGAATATAATCCTCGACTCTCTGGGAATTATCCATCACCATGTGCATGGATAGAGAGAGAGAGTTTGTTCATGGAGGGGGGGAGGGCATGCGTGTTTTACAGCATTTTTACATTATTTATTGACCACGTCCACTGCACTTATGTATTTGTATGCATTTTATGAATTAGGTTAGGAAGAGAGAGGAGAGAATCTAGGGAATGAGAAAAACAAAAAAAAAAAAAAAAATATATATATATATAGAAAAAAATATTAAAAAAATATATGTATATAAAAATTGTATACTATGCTCATACATATTGTTAATTCTATATAATTGTATATTAGTTTTGAAAAATTGTCTGTAGCGATTAATAAGTATACTGTGTTTAAAGCAACCCAATGTAATTGGGCAGCACCCTCTTATGATAATAAAGTGATTTTCTCAATTCAATGTATTTTTATCATAAAATACATAGAAAATTAAAACAAATAAGATTGTGTTTAGCTTCGAAAAGATTTATAAAAGTTGTTTTAAGAAAATAATAAAATCAAAAGTTTTTGTGACCTTACTATGATTGAAAATTGTAAGAATCTTGTAAAATTTAATAATTTATGTAATAATCTCTGTTGAGTATACCTCTCTGCACAACAGATGCATGTAGCAGTCCTTGGCCTGTTCAATTTCCTTTGCCCAGTCATCCCTGTTGGCTGCGCACCTGATGGATATGACGTTTTTTTTCAAGTCTTCTTTCACGTTGTCTATCCATCTTGCCTTCGGTCTTCCCCTAGACCTAACTCCCTCTGGCTTCCCATGATAAGGCCTTCTCGCTGTCCTCGCTTCATCCATTCTCAGGACATGCCTTAACCATTTCATTCGCTGCACTCGAGCGAATTGGAAGATAGACAGATCACCGTACATTGAGTATACCGTTCTCAAGCGGGGAACTCCTTCCTCCAGTTTAGGTCCCATTATCCGTCTTAGTATTTTCCTTTTCAAACAGATATATTCGTTCAGCAGACGCCTATGTTAGAGTCCATGTTTCACAGGCATCGATTATCGTTTACACAGGATTATCGTTTTGTATATCCTAAACTTAGTTGTACGGCTTAACAATCTACTTTTCAGAAGGTTCGCTAGAGAAAAGTACGCTCTGTTGGCAGTCATTATTCTAGCTCCTATCTCCTCTTCGTTATTGCTATTGTTAATTATGGACCCGAGATAGGTGAAGCTTGATACAGATTGAAAAGTATGGTTTCCTAAGACATAGTGCTGTGGTGGATGGACAAGCTTTCTCTTCCTGAAAACAAGGACCTTAGGTCTACTTTCGTTGATGCATAGCCCCATTTTCCCTGCCTCATTCTCCAACCTACTGAATGCATTCTTCACTACTTGAAGTGATCGCCCTGCAATGACCACATCGCCAGAATACTCGAGCAGTTGTGTCATTCTGTGGAATATTGTTCCTCCGTTATTAAGCATACTGTATTAAACCTATTAAGCATACTGTTTATAAAGTAGCCACTGATTTAAAAAAGAATTTCATACCATAAACATTGTAATACTCCTCTCAGTTGCTGGAGGTTAAGAAGCTGTTGATAGATTGTGGTCAAAAAGTCTGCAGTGTATTCCTCGTGCTTAATGGGATTGAGATCTGGAGACAATGAGGGAGGGGACAGATGTGAAATGTCCAGATTTTGAGATCATTATTTTGATTTACGGTCACATTGATTGCCTCGGTTTGTAGAATGTAGTCCTCTATAATTTCTTGAACATAAAGAACATCAATGAGATCATCTTCCAAAATATGGAGTTGAGACTTTCCTTCTGAGTAGATGCTGGCCCACACCATCACGTTTTATCTCATGGAAGTGGAAGACGAAGTCAGTATTTAGTGGTTTCACTAAGTGATTAATCTGTTGTTTCGGTTCAGTTTGAAGACAAATTATGAATTAATTTTGTCGCTATGGTATATTTTGAACAAATGTATTGCAAATCGACCCTTTCGTTTGATCAACACAGCGTTACAAAGCTTTTTGCAAATCGATTGAACACATTTTATTTAAAAACGGTTCAATATTTTATGTATCATGGGATCTAACAGAATAACCTTTCGCTTAAAAATGGGTTACCCAAACACATAACCCTTGTTTCGCTTCGCTTGGTCGGGTACAACAATCACAATTGTTAAATAAATTAGCTGAGTCCCATAATGAGTATCGTGTCAGCAATTGAAGATGTTAAAAAGAACAAATACAAATAATTAGAAGACCATAATGATTAGTGTCTTGGCAGACAAGCTGGCAAATCTAGTAATGACAAATGGTGTGAAATGAAAACGAATGTTTCCCCCATAAAGTAGGTTTTTATTAGCAAACAAACCAGTACATTACAGAGTGTGAAGGTAAACAGTGTAATGATATAAACACTCGATCAAAACCTCAAACAAATACAAACATCACCACGACAATGAGGGATGCCCATCCCCTCAAGGTATATGGCGCACGAACCTCCCCAACCCCTTCCAAGAAATGTTATTGCTCTCCTCTTCTTGAAAACTGTTCAAGTGAAAGTAGAAGTAGAAAAAACGTAGATCATATACAATTACACTTTCTTTGGTCTGATCCATGTTATTTCTCTTGTTCCATGGTTTGAATGTATTTACTCGCACAAGTCATAATTCTGTCGAAATGTATACCTTTAAAAAACTTAAAATATCTTCAAAATTTGCCCTCTCAGAAATGTTGATGGCGCAACTTGCGTCACGAAATCCCTTTCTGGGCACTCCTGACAACAATCATAATTTATAAAGTGAATACGAGAACGACTTTATATATTTTTTAAGCATTGGAAATGTAATATTTTATACTACAAAATAACTTATACATATTGTATTTATATTCTTGTATTTTAATATATTGTTTACTCACATGCTAAAGAAAGTATGATGATTGGAACAATAAGATCCACATAACCTTTAGAACAAAATAAACTGAAACACTGCGGCTCACCAAGGTGGATTTCAGCAGTCAACCAACCTCCAAAAAATATTTCATCGATACTGGAACTCATGAAGGTACAATATGACAAAATTACTGAAACGTTACCATATACTTATAATTAAACACCTAGTAAAGGGTTAAGATTATTTCTGTTTGTTACTTACACTTACTTATATATTTGGTTATCCGGAAAATAATATAAGATTTTGAGTTTTCTTTAAAATACCCCTCTATATAACTAACTGTTTACGTTTACTGGATCTGACATTTGTATGAATGTCAACATTTATAAATCCTCTTCCAAACGATAATATTTGTTTACCTCTGTAGCATTTGGCTGCTTAGAAATAATTCAGTCTTTACTAAGATGTCAACGCGTGATTTTCGTATAATTTTGTTTTACGAGGTTAAACTCGGCGGCACAGACGGCTAGAAACATCAACCGAGAGCAGCATTAATGAGTGCTCCGTTGAACGGTTGTTCAAAAAATGTTGGGAGCAAAACTTTGATTTGAACACGTCGTGGAAGGATTTCCTGTCTTGACGATGTTCTACGAGCTTTGGTGGAAGAAACCCCCAGAACAACTGTTGGAGAACTTCAGGAAACTTATCCTTAGCAAAGCTATAAGATAAAACGTTTGAAAGTTGGGTTCCACACACATTGAACGTCCGCCAAAAAAACAGCGTTATGAATTTTGTGCTACACTTCTTTGCCGAAACAAAAACGACCCTTTTCTGTCCATTGTTACTTGTGACGAAAAGTGGGTACTTTACGATAACAGTAGACGTTCTGGATAGTGGTTCGACAAAGGAAGAACAGCACAACATTTTACAAAGCCGCCGACTCATCAAAAAGAGGCGATGATGATTACTGTTTGGTGGGCTTCAATTGGTGTGAATAAATATTCAGATATACTTTCAAACGTCTGTAGGCATATATGAGCCTTTCGGTTGACAGAATGACTAACTCCAATTTCAACATTCTTCATTATTAATTTTAGTGATGTTTCCAGTGGCTAAATTTATACCTTTATTCACAGTTCTATATTTCAACACTGCAATCACCTCCTCCGGAATCAACTTACTCACTGTCTGCATAGATAACTTTTTCAACTAAAAATATCACTTAAATGACATTACTCAAAAAAATATTGAAATTGGAGTCATTCTGTGGTTTATAAAAGCAAAGAAAGTTGTGTGGTTTATAAAAGCAGATGGAGTGACTAGATTTTTATTGCCTACCGTCGATATTTTTAGCTTTAGCTTGGTTAAAAAATCAATTCAAAAATTTTATAATAGCCCAACGTGTAAGTGAAAGTTGTGTGTTGCGCGCACCAGATTTTTTATATAATTGAGAGATATAAATTGGCAATAAGGAGTGATGTATAATATAGATTTTAAAATAAATTAAAAAAATTGTCAGAAGTGTCTGTTTCGTTCAGTTTATTTTGTTTATCAAAAGTAATACAATCTGAACTACAGAATAAATGTAAATTAATTTTATCCAATTTAAGCAATGAGTACTACAATTAAATGAACAGTTGTGTAATTTGTGAAATAAGGGGTTATTCCGCCATCAGGCGAATAAAGGGATGAATTAATATTCAGAAATTATTTATAATTTTTTTGTTACTCTCTATTATGTTCTACGACTTTTTAAGAAACATATTATTTGGAGAACATCCTGAACAGTTATGAAAGATTGGAAGGGTTTTGTGTTGCGCTAAGACAACGCTAGGCCCCAAACCTCATTGGTCACTCGCAATAAATTATTGAGCCTTGGATGGGAACTTTTGCCCCACCCTCCCTATTCACCAGACCTAGCAATAAGTGACTACCACTTGTCCCGGTCTCTGTAGAACTCCATAAATTGAAAGAAATTCCAAAAGGAAGAGGACATCAAAAAATCACTTGGATCAATTTTTTAACAATAATCTCCAGACATCTTATGGACATGGCATTCTGCAGTTAGTGGAATGATGGTAAAAAGTCATATTTAATAAGGTCAATATATTATAGATTAAACTGAATTTATGTCTATATTACATTGAGTTTTATTTCACCCTGAAAAACCGAAAGGACTTATCTGTCATCCCAATATATAAGTATTAAGTACTTTCCTTAGGTTATTTACAAAGAATGGATTGAGGTTAGTAGCATCCATATTCTTCCTAAAACACTTTTTGGGATTTTTTGTAATATATGATTGATCTTATCTTGCCAACTTGATGTAACACTTGTCAACTAGTACTATTATATTTATCCACAAATGGTTGAACTATTTTGTATTGTGAAGATAACACTTTTAAGAAAAAAATTGGTTCAGTTTACCTGCAGCATAAGCCAGAATTTTATTCCATCCCACCAAAAAGGCCACGAATTCAGAAATGGTAAGGTAGGAATAGTGGTAAGTTGATCCTGTACAGGGTGCTAGCGCTGTTAGTTCAGCTAAACAAAATGCTGAAATTTAAGATTAAATGGTTGAGTCAGTTAGTTGATTTTAAATTGTGAATTTTTAAAAATATTTTATAATTATTCAAAGAGAAATATAATGAAAACAAGCGGTATTTTTGATGACGAATAAGATGTTTAAGAAAATAAATAAAAGAGTAGCAGCTTCCAACAGTAGGATTGGCAGGCAAACATACATTTTCCATTTAAACTTAGCTAAATTTTCTTCTAAATTCGGCTATGCTTAATCCTAATTGATTAATTCCCCCCCCCTTTTTCTCGCCTCTACCCTGAAGGGTCATTGGCGTTTTCTATGATTTATACTCTGTTATAGTAGTTTACAATTTTTAAAAATTTTAACACGATCGAGACTCTTTCTTCATTATCTTGGAGTATTTCGTTTAGTGTTTTTCCTAGTTCTATTTTTTCTTTGTGCCTTTCGAATTGGGGACATTCTACTAGAAGGTGTTTCACAGTTTGCGGTGTATTATTACAGTTTTCGCTTGTAGGAGCTTCTAGGCCTTTTAAAAGATAGTTATGAGTGAACTGGCAGTGCCCAATCCTAAGGCGGCACAGTATGATTTCTTCACGCCTGGACTTTCTGTTGCTAGTGAGCCATTTATCGCAAGTGGGTTTTACTTCTTTCAGCTTACACTCTTTGCTCCTCCACTCTTTTTCCCACTCTGCCAGTTGTTTTTTCTTTATTTCGTGTACCCAGTCTTCTAAAGTGATATATTTCACTCTCGTCACTTCCTCTTCTTCTCCTCCACTTCCTGATAAATGGGCTGCATTGTCAGCATTTTCATTTCCTAAAATTCCGCAATGAGCTGGTACCCATACCAATACAACTGTTATTCCTTTATTTTTTAGATCCCACCAGATATTGAGTATTTCCCTAATTACGGAGTTTTTAGGATATGGATTGCCAATGGCAGTTAAAACACTGTATGAGTCTGTCACAATTTCACAAGTTCTTTTCAGTTTCGCTTATAAGATATAAAGCATTCATGATGGCAGTGGCCTCACCTGTGAATACTGAACATTCTCCAGGTAATTTAAACAGTAATTGTTTCTCTTTACTCTGATTAATTTTTATTTTCCATTATTTTTACTAACATTATCCCAGATGAGATGAGGGTAAATTATAAAAAAAAAAAAAAAAATGCTTTGAAGAAATAATTAATATTATTTAAATTAATTACCGTAATCCAAAGATCAAATCAAATTAATTATTGCAAGAAAACTATAAACTAATTAATCACTCATTAAAATTAAATTATAAAAGAAGTCTTGTAAAATGTTCTCCACTTACACGTTATAAAAATGTTTAAATGACAATGAAAATTAGTTAAATAAAGTTGTAGCGGTCTCGCTCTTACTAAAAGGAACGAGTACGCCTTCCCGCTACCAGGCAGCGCTCTACAAGCTCTCCCGTACAACTTACCAAAATTGTATCTTTTATTTCTTATTGTTGTATTGTATAATTCTTAAATTGTAAATTGAAATGTGCATATTCATTGTAAATACTTTTTATTAATAAAGTTCAATGGCGATGACATATATTGATCAAAGCTTTAAAATACTGTTATTGTAACGGCTATTCGTAGCCGGTTTAGTCTTGGCGGAATGAATATCCCAGTCAAACCTCAAATTGTCAGGTCTTCGGATCTCTACCCCTTCAGGATGTAGATCTATAAGCAGCTGGTCAGTTTATGTCTCATATACGCTCTTGGTTCTCCTCAATCTGCTCTTCTTATTTAAACATTATCCTGATTCATTTTACCGCTTCTCTTACTCCATGTAATTTGGACGCTGATCCGTCCGTTTACAGTCCTATATACTTAGTCAGGTAATTATTCCCTCCGTTAGTATTTCATCCTCCCACAAGACCGGAAATTGATAACTCCGGTTGTGGTTACCATCCTTGTGGAGTGTTAACCTTGATCTCTTACACCGCAGGCCGAGAGTGATTGGGTGCTGATCCGCCTGGCACTCGAGGTCATCCATCTATACATCTTCCTACATCCAATCAATCATACTTACCTCTAGAATGAACACGCACTGTCGATGTCTTCTGATAACTTGCATACTGCCTCCCGGTATTTGTATACCTCGACAAAGTTTTGATTCAATATTTTTTCGTACACTTTGTAGATTTACACAATTGCTAATTATTATCTTAAGGAAAATTGGCCTGATAGTATGAACTTGTGCCTTGGCATGAATAGGCGATATTCGATAGTTTTCCACTGATAGTTCCGTGCTATCGATTGTTCAGAAACTTCCCGCTAATGACTTATAGACAATTTTTTCCACTGTTTTCTTTAGCTATTTACTTTAAAATACTGCATAAGCTTTATAAATATTTTTTTTTTTTTTTTTTTTTTTTTTATTTCAATGGAATTTACAACTGTATTACATAGAGAATACAATAAGTAAATGAGAAATTTGTAACATGGCATGTACAACATGAAGAGAAACTACCCATTGGTAGAACTCAAATTAAAGTTCTATATTAGAAGATCCCGAGGCCATCTTCTTTTCAGACGCCTCGGAGGGTTATCAGGGATCGAGGAGGAAGCAAGGTTTGAAACGAGAGGATTCGGATGATTCTGCAGTTTGTTATGGAAGGAAAGATATCTGGATTGGGCCAGATCGGAAACATATGGAACATTAAGGTCTTTATGGATGATTTTATTTGTGACAAAGTAAGGAGCGTTGAGGATTTTACGAAGGATTTTGGATTGTAAGGATTGGATACGAGAGGAATTCGATGGTTTAGTGGAGCCCCAAAGCTCAATTCCGTAAGTCCAAATAGGTCTTATTATTGTCATATATACGAGTCGTTTATAATTGATTGAAAGCTTAGATCGTTTGTCTAGTAAGTGCTGCAGTAGTCGAAAACGTCGGGCGGTTTCTAGTCGTTTCAGTCTGGTATGGGGGTTCCAAGTGAGTCGTTTGTCAAGGTGGAGTCCTAAGTAGCGGATTTGCTCAACAGGAATAAGTGGAGTATTATTGAAGGATACTGTAGGACAAGAGGTCATAGGTTTACGACGGAGGGTAAAAGTGATTTGATGGGATTTGTTGGAATTTATTTTTATTCTCCAATTTTTACACCATTCTTCAAGGCTTGTGATATGTGATTGAAGAGTTTGGGATGCAATTAAAGGATCGTTATTAACTGATAGGATACACGTGTCATCGGCATAGGTGGTGATGACAGTGTTGGATTGGGTTGGGATGTCAGCTGTATAAACTGTGTAAAGGATAGGACCTAGGATACTACCTTGAGGAACACCGGCAGACTGAGTAAAAAGAGATGAATAAGCATTGTTATGATTGACTTTGAAGTATCTGTCAGTAAGGTAGGAACGTATAATGAGGAAGTATGTAGGTGGTAGGAATTCACGGAGTTTGTACATCAGTCCCGGATGCCAGACTCTATCAAACGCCTGTTCAACGTCGAGAAAGACTCCCGTGCAGTACATTCCGCGCTCCAATGCAGAGGAGACTACATCTACCACACGATGGCATTGCTGAATAGTGGAGTGGGATGTGCGGAATCCAAATTGGTGATCTGGGATAATGTGTTTAGAGTCTAGGATGGGATACAGGCGTTTTAAAATGAGTTTTTCCAGGATTTTGCCCATAATGGGTAAAAGGGAGATAGGACGGTAAGAGGATGGGTGTTCTGGCGGCTTTGTGGGTTTAGGTATCATTTTGACAATGGATAGTTTCCAAGAGTCAGGAAAATATGTGGTGCGGAGTACAGCATTAAATATATAGGTTAGGAACAGTATGGCTTTTTTAGGAAGACATTTTAGGATCTGGGAGGTGATTAGGTCATGGCCAGGAGCTTTGCGAGAAGGTAATCTATTAATGATATTGGATATTTCTGAAGGATGAAATGCTTTAGGTGGAGGAGTCAATTGGAGTGGGGTATCCAATTCTGCTTCAATAAACTCAAGGTGGGTTGGATTAAGGATGTCTGGGTGTGGATTAAATGTTTTTGAGAGGTGTTGAGCAAATATTTGAGATTTTTCATCATCAGATCTGGACCAGGTTTGGGTTTCAGTAATAAGTGGGTGGTTAAAATCTTTGAATTTAAGGAGTTTTTTAGTGGTCAACCATAGTGATTTGTCACAAGTAGTAAGTTTTTCTGTCATGTTATGTAAATTTTGAACTTTGTATTTTCTAATTTCAGCTTTTAGTTGGTTAGTTAATTTGTTGTAATATGTCTTATCTGATGGATATCTAGTCCTGTGCCACTTCGATCTTGCTCTGCGTTTTTCCCTTAATAAGATACGAATATGCTGCGGCAAATTTGTCTGTTGGGAGTTGTCAGTTTTATTGGTAGATGTATTATTCTTTATTTTGTCACTTATAGATGTAGTAAGTTCTTTTATGGCTGTGTCAATATCACGTTTCGTCTTAAGTGGAATATTTAGGTCCAATTTATTTTCCAGGTCTTTACGAAAATTGTCCCAGTTTACTCGTCCTGTAATCAGTGTAGGAGAGGACGAGGGCTTAGGAGCGAAGGTTGTGTGTAATGAAAGCAGAACTGGAGAATGATCTGAGGAGAGGTCATCCAGGGATTTTATTGTGACATGGGAAGAGGAAATTTGGGAGGTGACAAATATGTCGAGGATATCAGGGCGTTTTTTGAGGGATGTTGGCCAATAGGTAGGATTCATAGGAGAGAGGACAGAGTAACTATTGGAAGTTGAGACAGAAGATAGTATGTTACCACGGGAGTTGGATGATCGACAACCCCATCGTTGGTGTTTAGCATTGTAGTCTCCTCCAGCAATAAAGCGCGATCCGAAGGATTGAAATAAGGATTCAAGTAAGTTATAGGTAAGAGTATGACCGGGAGGACAGTATACAGCTGAGAATGTTAAATGGAAAGGACGAGTTGAAATGATAACCGAGGTTGCTTGAATAGCCTCCGTTGGAGTAGAAGGAATGAGAGAATGGGATAAGGATTTATGGATAAGGATGCAAGAACCGGCATGGGAAGTGTTGTCGGGGTGGTCTGATCTATAAGTGATATAGTCACGTATGTAGAAATATGAACGTCGAGTGAAGTGAGTTTCTGTCAGTAGAGCAATATCAATGTGATAGTCATGAAGAAAAATGTCGAGTTCGTCTCGGTGGTTTTGTAGTCCGTTAGCATTCCATAAAAGAACAGCTAGGGGCTTAGTGCTCATCGTGAGAGATTGAAGGGAATTTCGGCAAGGATTCTTGTGAGGAGGGTAATTAGTGGCTTGATAGTCTCTTGGAGATCTTTCAGGAAGGACGCAAGGGTGGAGTTTATTAAATCGATCGGGTTTTGTTGGTCAGGTTGGTTTTGATTAGGGGTTCGTGAGGGAAAGATCTTATGATAAGGAGTGTCTGATGAAGGATGTACCCTTGGAACTTGGGAAGGAGAGTAAATATGAGCAGTAGGGTGGGAATAAACAGGAGTTGGATGTTCGGGCGGTAATTTTACACGTATAGGTATCTGGTGAGGAGGCATTTGCTGACGTGGAGATTTTGAATGAATGTGGGAGATTTGAGTCTTGGATTGGGAGGTCTGGATCTTAGGTTTGGAAGCCTGAGTCTTAGTTTTGGAAATCTGAGGCGTCTGACGTCGCGGCTGTTGATTCTTCACCGTAGTGTCTGAATATAGGTGCCTAGAGTCTTGATGGGGATGATCTGTTGATGTAGAAGGGTTGTGCGTCAATTGTGGTATTATTTCGTTCGGCAGTTGACTTTATAAATATAATTAATATTTATATCAGATACATTCTTAAAAATGTATATTGATTCATTGACGGGAAAATAAATTTATATAAAAAAAAAAATAAATACACTCATTTCCGTGAATGTCAAATTCAAACAAAAAAACCACTATGACGAAATAGAGTATTATTTGAACAATGTAAGAATAAATGAATCATGGTTTAATCTTTTTGCAAATTTGCATGTGGGTTTCTTTTCCATATTTAGCCAAAATTTGATTTTTGTGCATAATTAGACTCCAAAGGCATATGCTTATGCATATTTTAATTAATTGAATTTATTTTATTTTGATAAAAATACGTTCATGGCTTTCCTTGACCACAACTCTGCCTTTGACTCGGTTCTACGAGATGAAATATGGGAAGCTCTTAGATCGAAGAATGTTCCGAGAAATCCGACAGAGGCGATAAAATCTATATATCAAGAGCCCAAAGTAATAGTCAGGCTGGACGGGCTAAAATCGGGTTGTTTCAATTTTGCATAGGGGGTGAAACAAGGAGATAGTCTAAGCCCATTGTTGTTCTTGTTAGAGAAGAACGGACAGGGCATTCCTGGGACGTAGGAATCTTAATCCTGTAGGGATACAGCTTCTCCTCTACGCCCACGACGTAGTATTGATTACGGACTCAGTGTAAAAGTTTCCATTGGCAGTCATGGGATGGTATGAAGAGCTCCAACGAAAATGGATGGTTATAAATACCAACAAATGTAAGATACTTCAAGTCGGAAGATATCCAGATATACTGCAATGGAGAAGAATTAGAAGTGGTGACAGACTTCACATACCTGGGTTCAGCATTAGACGGATCTTCGAAGGTAGACGCGGACATATCAAACAGGATTAATAACATCTTCAAGACGGTATATCTACCCATACTTTTTTTATGGAGCGGAGAGCTGAATATTAACAGACCGACAGGAGAGCAAAATCACCTCTGCCGAAATGAAATTTCTGCGAAGGACGGTTGGGAAAACAAGGAGAAACCGAGTTCGCAATGAAAGTATACGTCGGGACCTGCAGATAGCCCCACTGAAAGAGCTCCTAGAAACTCGTCAGTTAAAGTGGTTCGGCCATGTTATCAGGATGGACGACCACAGAGATCCTCTAAAGACCATGGAATATGTCCCAGATGGCAGAAGACCTAGGGGCCGCCCTAGAATGTCCTATCTTGACTACATTGAACGATTCTGTTGGGCGAGGGAGAAGGACCTTCGACAGGCCAGAAATAGGAAAGAATGGAATTCCTGGCTGAATTCTACGCTGAAAGGCACTAAAGAGGAAAGCTAAAGAAGATAAGAAAAATTAATTTTATGCGTAGGTAATTGTTTACTTAAGAAAAATCTAGCTTTTACTAATTACTTAAATTTACAATTCTTTATTATATTAAAATTACAATTCTGTTTATGCTTCAAATGATAAAATTATGTTAAATTCTTGACAAACTTTTTCTTTTTTATGCCTGGCATTTTCGGCTATACGTGGCTTTTTTCCGGTACAAAGAAAGAGGGATTAACGTCTGAGTTAAACTATCAAACTTTGTTTGTATTAGACACCAGTTAATATTGATTTACAGTATTGGATAAGTATTGGATCTAAGAGAAAGACATTTTATTTTATTTTGTTAAAAATCATTACCTTTTACGTAGATCTAAATCAATTGGCCCTAAAAAACTTATAATTGGCTCATGGTGGTCAGATTAGCATAATTAAAATTTAAACAGTTTCTGTAGTTTTCAAAATAATCCGTATTTACGTCGATGTACGCAAAATCAGAACTGTCCTCATTTGATAGAACGTAAAATGTTTCACTTAGCAAAATAGAAAGTTCAAGGATCAGAAATTGATTTTTTTTTATGGAATCATCACAATATTTTTGTTTTTTACAGTTATAAGGTATGTTTGTACCAAAATAAAACCTTAAGAAAAATCTCAGTTCATTTATAACTGAAACCAGTCTTAAGACACATCTGCAATTGTTGATTTTAAAACTTAACCTAGTTGGGATTGATGGATCTACGAGGGAGGGAGGTTCTCGGGCTGAAGCCTTGGATGTATTTTTTTCTTTCATTGGAACGTAGTTGTTAACATGAGTGATCTAAGCAAAACACTTAAAAAATCACAATAATCTTTTATTATTATAATGCATGTACAGCTACTAGATGTGAGCACTAGTCAAGAAGAAATATAAGAAATTTACCATTTAGCCTACCATTGCAATATGATATAGTGCTCAAATGCTCAAAACTGGGGCCATGTTAAGTTCAATTTAAACAATTTTATTGGTTATTTTAAATTTACACTTAGTCAGTCACCGTTTCTCTAAAAATATGATATTTTCTTACCTGTAAACATTGTGATAATACCATATACAATCCAACAAAATGTCAACAAGACTCCACCATTATTTATAATAATTGTAGGTATCAATTTATAAACAGCAAAACCATGTAATGAACATAAACACAACATCATAACTTCAATACCACGGAAGCCAATTTTGAGGTGACTCTTGTATCCCAATTGGTCCACTTTAGTTGTCATTCTTTCGTAAACTCTGGTGAAGAAATCCTTGAAAAATAGAAATCATTAAGTAATGTTTTAACAGATTGTAGAAAAATAATAATAACTAGCACTAGCGGATCCAGGATTTAATTTTTGGGGGGGGGAGTTTTAGCCCGAAAGATTTTTTTTCATATATTTAACGATTATTAATTTGAAAAAAAAAGAAAGATACCAACTACCTACACGAAATGGTGTTTAAGTGACTCTTGAAGTCCTAATTAATGTAATTACTCGAACAATAATACTTTAATAGATAGTTTTTAATATATTTTTCTATAAAACATGGTTATATTTTACCGTTTCGGGGAGGAGGGGGCATCAGCCCGAAAGCCCCCCGTAAATCCGCCTGTAACTACTAGGTGGTTATTGGAAAATGATTTGTAATCGGTTACCCCTTTATAACCGCTAATAATATCATCGGTTTCAGTCATTTTTTCCGAATCACTAATTTTCTTAATAAAAAAAAAATGAAATAACTGGCAAACCATTTTTTTTTTTCTATAAAATATAACATACAATTAATATATAATACATATCATTTTATTGAATATTTAATGGTAGACCGTTGCCTTATAAAGGAAGGAGATGGTCCGGGATGGCGGTCATAAATAGGCTAAATAGTGGTAAAACTATTTTAATAAAAATCCAACGTTTCAACCCGACTTTGCAGGTCTTCTTCAGGGAGGTGTGTTCAGCTAGGAGTTTCACTTAGAACACACCTCCCTGAAGAAGACCTGCAAAGTCGGGTCGAAACGTCGGATTATTAAATTCGAAAACATAAATTTTTGTTTTTAACCAATGATTTAATTATCCTCAATTATCAACCTTTTGCCATCTGGAGAGCAAATTTTCAATGCCTGATCGATAAAAATAAACTGATTTTTGAGCAAATTAAATAGATATGGCATTTTGGATGTCATCCAAATTTGCAAATCTTTTGCCACTTATTAAGTTTTGAAGTGATCAGAATAAATGGAAATCCATTGAGTATTCTAAGCGAAACACTTAAAAAATCACAATATACTATCTTTTATTATTATAGAATAGAATAGAAAATAGAACTTTATTCTGGGACTAAGTCCGCTTAGAATAACAAAGATGAATTAATACAAAATAAAATACCAATCTGGCCAAAAACTAACTTATAAAAATTCTAACATAATATACATTATTTAAAAAGTAGTATGTAACCACTAAGAAATAAACAAAAAAAATACACACATATATAAATACACGCACATATATATATACATACATATACATACACACATATATACATACATACACACATACACATACATATATATATATATATATATATATATATATATATATATATATATATATATATATATATATATATATATATAGACACACACACACACACACACACACACACACACACACACACACACATACACATACATATATACATATATAACTGAACATACAATCTTCTCCAAATTTACTTATTATTACGATAAAAAAAAAAAAGACAGAAAAGAAATTACATATCTATATATACATAACTGCACAATTTATAAACAATAGCCTATCTAATAGAAACATAATTTAATTCAAAATGTAATAATATTTACACTGATTCATACAATAATAAGGAAACACTAAGATAAAATAAAATCTAAGTAATAATTGTGGTATAAAGGTAAAAAAGGAACTATATATACGTACTTACTCATATTGCTACACAGTGAGACAAAAAGTATAAAATATAAACATATATACATGAAAGGAAAAGCCCAACCTGAGGTGAAGACAAATACAAATAAATAGTAAAAATAATAGTCAAAAATCATTGCTGTTTTATATTAAAACTTAAACTGTAGGCATCACCATTTACTTCTCACAAATTCAGTTCATAAAATGAAATTTATGGTTGCGAATCGTCTGTTTGGGATGTGCGGAGATATTGGAAAAGGAGGTATTTGAAGGTTGACGGTGAAGAGGCATGACGGATGTTATGTGGCAAAGAATTCCATAGGTGACGGAGGGACGTTCATAGGTTTTTGCCTTGTGTAATGGAATATAGAGGTCAGAATCACGGGATCTCGTTTTTATTGAGTGGACTAAAGGTTTCGGCTTGAGGAGACAGTAGATATAGGAAGGGTGCTGGGAGTTGATCGTTTGGTATAAGAAATTTCCAAGGAAGTATAGGCGGCGGGAAGAGGGGAAGAGCCACTTTGACTCTATAGGTGGGACACATGAGACCATCTCGAAGTGCCGAAGACAAATCTTAAAAAACAGTTCATGATTCTCTTCAGTCTGTCCTCAAGCTCCAACGAGAGGCCACCATATACCACACAGCCATAGTCAAAGTAGGGGGAAAATCAATGAGGAAACGAGGAACTTGCGGATAGGTTGTGGGAGATGCTGACGAGAACGATGAAATAGTTTAAGTGTATTATAATGCATGTACAGCTACTAGATGTAAGGACTACTCAAGAAGAAATATAAGATATTTAAGATTTAGCCTACCACTGCAATATCATATAGTGCTCAAATGGGGGTCATGTTAAGTTCAACGTAAACAATTTTATTGGTCATTTTAAATTTACACTTAGTCAGTCACCGTTTCTCTAAAAATACGATATTTTCTTACCTGTTAACAGTGTGATAATACCACTTTGGTACTAATACCAAATGGTGATAATACCATGGACATCAGTCGATTATGGTGGGTGAGGCAGAACCTGTCACCTCAATTCATTATTTTCTTCCTGGATTCGTCTTGCATTATCATGTTGCCGGGTAACTTCTTTTCTGTTGACAATCGCCGGGTACATTTCAATTAAAGTTTGATTTATACGATCAAATTGTTCACAGTAAAGGTCTGAATTCACAGTTTGTACAGATTTCAGCATTTCAAAATTAACAACGCCCAGAATACTCCACCAAACACACAAAAAGGCTTTTACTGCCTTAGCCGTACTTCGTGGCTATTCGTTTGGAAGGAACCACTCCCTCTTGCGTTTTGAATCATCATAGAGGACCGATTTTTTATCTAAAGTGATCAAGCGATCAAAAAACGCTTCTGTATTGTGCTGTTGAAGCAATAAGGTGTTTGTGATGGTTTCCCAATCTGCTGCAAATATTCTTGAATAGTCGACCAAAGTTGGCTAAGCTGTTTAACAATTCATGGATTGTCTGATACAGATTTGTTTCCACTTTCGCTCTTATCACGCCATTGTCTAACGTTATTGGTCTTCCTGATCAATACGATTCGGAAAGATCAAAATTACCGGATTTGAATTAGAAAAACCGTCTTTGCCATTTATGAACGTCTAATGCATTTGGATAAACTTTGCAAATGTTTTTGGTAGCAACTTTTATGTTGCTACTCTTGTGAAATTCAAAAAACATACAATGCTGAATATATACCTCTTCTGGTATTTTGCTGACCATTTCACCCAAAATTAAATGTAATTATTTACAATTAAACAAGTCACTATAACATTACAAAGTCTTTGCTTTAATCATTTCATAGTATTGATGTACACAATAAACTGACAAATGACAATCGAATAGTGACATGCATTACTTTCCGGTCATCCTAATAAATATATGTTTATAAAATATTACATTTTATATTTACAAATTTAATTTTATCGTAAAAAATACAATATTATGTTTTAAATACATTTTGCAATTATTATTCAATTTAAACATATTTTTAAAACGTGCCATTTTTTAAATAAAATAATATTTGACTTTAGTTTAATAAATACGGAAACTATTAATTTCACGTACACAGTTCGTTGAAAATACATTTTTAAAAATGATTTTTAGTGCAAGAAATACGAATATGGCACCTAAAAAAATCACCCACAATTTTTTCACATTTTAAAATAAAATTACACAGGCCGACAAAAACAATCCCACAAGTACACAAGGCTCTTAAATGCTGTAGAGTGGAGAGGCAGGAACTGCCGGTTGGCGATCTGGAGCCTTCCGACATGGAAGATGTGGAAGACGACATAGAATTCCTGAAAAACAATAAAGCCCCTGGGATGAATGGGATATCCTCGGCAATGTTCAAGTATGGAGGGGAAGAACTCACAAGATTTATGCATAATGTTATCATGGAAATATGGGCAGAAAAAGTATTACCAGATGATTGGTACACAACAATCATCTGCCCGATCCATATAAAGTGTGATATCATGGAATATCTCTGGTCTCGTGTGCATATAAAATTCAATCAAGAATCCACTTTCAGAAGTTACTTCCGCTGAAGGGGAATAGGAATATATCAGGCTGGATTCATTCGAGGAAGATCTACGGTCGACCAAATATTTGTTATTAGAACAATCCTAATTGGCAAGAGAGTATAATATATATACACACTACTCTTCATAGACTTTGATAGAGCTTATGATAGCATCCTAAGAGATGGGCTCCATCACAATATGAAAGACTGGTTTTGGAACAGTTCAACACGATCGATGTATATCCTCTCAAAGGTAGACGTGGATCTTCCGAAGGATGAGACTTAGCTTTCGGTGGTGCTTTGTGATGTGCTTCACAAGCCCTGCAATCCCGTACCATCTTTTCTATTTCCGAATCTAATCGTGGCAATGTATATTTTTTGCTCAATATTCAGCCTTATATTAATAGCCCTTGTGAGATCTATCTATGTTTATGGCTGTATAGTAGACTAGCTGATGTAGCCGTCGTTGACGGATGTATAGTGACATTGAGTCACCTCCATCCGCTTAAAATTAGAACTTGATTTCCAGAAAAAGTTCGAATCCGGGACTTTTTCCCGATTTCCAGCTGATCCGTTTGGTTAATCCTAAAAATGTATACTACAATATTTGTTAGGCTCGGGAAGTTGAATCGAAGGACACCTTGAACGGATAGATCGGACAAAGTGGAAAAATGAGTGTCTTTTACTCGTTACAGATGTTCGGTATTTCGGATTTTTTCAGTTGAGTTGTAAAAATTTTTTACATCAGTTGAATAGTACAACTTTTTAATTTTACTTTGTCTTTTGATTAGTACAACTTTTTAATTTTAATTTAACTCGCGGTAGAATAGGTTGAGATGAGAATCGAAGTAAGTAACTGCCTAGCCGAGATCTCTGGACAAATTACTCAAGAATTAATAACTTTACTTCTACTCAATATTTTGTTTTCATTTACAGAATATATTTTAAGTCAAGCAAGCCTAAATCTAATTCCAAAATTTGAAAAGCCTACCATTAACTATTGCTGAGCTTACCGCCTTGGACAATGCGGACAAACAGATAGACAACAAATTTTTCAAAAGTGGATTTGGTGTATGTGATGTACCAAACTATTATAATTTCATATTCATATATTATAACTAATATTTAAACATATATTAAACAGTGTCAATATCTACTAATAAGCTATAAACATAGATGTATCTCATATAACCTATTAATATAGGGCAGAAATAATGAACAAGAATTTTCATTTTTCGATTGCAACGAAAATTCATATTCAGGTGTTTTACGGGTGAAAAAAATTATTGTCATATTTTTTTGTCCCAACGAAATATATTTCATGGTGTAATATTTACAATTCATGCTTTATTCTTATTTCAGATCGAATTTCGACAAAATACAAAATTTTGTGCATGTAATCATACTTTGATGTCCGTGCGGTTTTCCATTACCTCTTCTACCCTTTTTTTTCTGGAATTTTTAAGATTATAATTTAGCTTTATGAAATCAACAGGGAGTTCTCCACGAGAATTTGATGGTGTAACTTGCGAAGAATAAAAGGTTTTTAATCAAAAATGAAAGAAACATCTTCTTTATACGAATCTTCGTAAATATGACATTCCTATTAGTAATCCTACTTTGTGATTTTTTTTTTTTTTATTTGCTATAATTTTATCTGTATATTTAAAATTTTTATTCTTGCAAATACATGTTTTTGAAAGAAAATCGTCACTTGTACTTCTTAAATTTCTACATTTGTTTCTCTAAGAAAAAAATTAGATATGTTTTTTACGATGTGGGAATGGGATAGCTCAAGGTCCCAGATTCGAATCCGGCCGATGACTAGTAATTTTTCATCAGCCGTGGGTCGACCCTGGGGCAAACACTATAAAAATGGATACTCTTAATTAAATAATTAATTAAAAACCTGGCAGTTAAGTGTGATATTGGGCTGTCACCTACCTGCAAAACCGTTCGTCTTGTAACAGTACTTCCTCACATTGTACTGAACCCTTCATGGGTTGTTAGTGGTACAGGTTTTTTTTTTACAATGTTGTTTTTTTTATATTATTATTATTAAATAAAAAGGGATCCAACTTCCTTTAATAATTATATTATTATGAAAAATGCAAAAGACAAGAAACAAATTAACAAGAAACAAATTCTCTGTAACAGTAGTACAACAAAACTGTGCTAAAAATTAGGTTTGTTTTCTCTAAATAAATATAAACATTTGTTCCTTCTGTTTATGTTATATATTTGCCTCTTATTTAGCGGTAAGTAACTTTGAAAAAAAGTATTTTAGTAACAAAACTTAATTTCAAGTTTTCTTTTTCCATTTCAGGTCTAGCTTTTTTTTTTATAATATATTTTTATAACATTTAATTCTAGGTTGCTAAACTTATTTAGCAAATATTTATCTACCTACTTCTTCGAACCAACATCAATAAGACACGTAGGTAATCTATTCAATAAATTAAGTAAGACAAAAAATCCAATATTCATAGAAATCTTCAATATGTTTGACTGTCTAGTCCTTAATTCTCTAATCAAGTCTCCCCATTACACATATCTAAATGAGGGAACTAGGTAGTTTTATAGACCTTGTTTATACCAGTAAACTCTCGCATCTTACGTAATCTAATCAACTGTAACGGTGATGTTGCTAGAAAAATATTCGTTTTCAGGTATTTTTGTTTCCAGTATTTCTGAACTTGATTTTATCTAACGTTTTGACATTAATCAATTCTTCTTAGAGGAATATTAACTAACAAACTATGATATATATTTATAATATATATAAACTTTGTTTGAAAATCGTCAAATGGGAGAAAGCATTCTGGAGATTCATGGTGTGGTAGGAAGTTCGGAAGGGAATAATAGACCTTACCCACCAAGAGATAAAGGTCCACCTCAAGGAATGTAGAATTACTTGGAGAATTCCTCTTTCAAAAGCTAGTGACACGCCAGTTGGCCTTAAAAAGCTTGATGCTACTAGCATTATAAACTCAACTCAGAATGTTACAGAATTAAACATATTTACCACATAACATATGATTTCAGATATTTCCACAGCTGAAGTGTGGAAAAGTATTACATAAAAACAGATGATTTCTGAAGAAAAATGTAATAAAAAAATATTATATAGGTTTTTATAATACTTTCACACGAAATAACCATTATTACTAAATTCCTTTAGTGTACCTTTATCTGTTGGTTGGTAAGGAGTATTATAATTTTTCCAACTTCCTACCGCATGAAAAATTCATTTCCATGGCAATGTTCACTTGATCATAAAAAAATAAAATAAAAATATCATTCAATATTATTCAAAAAGTGTTCACCTACTTTTTTTTTTTTTTTTAAACAATTTTCCTGAGAAACGAAATTCCAGAACTAAAATGTTCTGAATGTTTAATAATATGCTATCATTGACCATTTTTGGTTAGTTTTTAAATCAAGCAGAACTGAGTTTACTCTAAGTGAGTCAAACGAATACAAATCATTTTTGTGTTTTAAATCAGGACTTCGTTTCATGCAAACATAAAAATAATATCAAAATTAGGCAGAGTTGAAGATAGTCAAATTAGCTCGAAATGTTGTTGAAAAAAAAATGAACAAAGAAGAAGTTTTAAAATAATTAAATTGTGTTTTTCCTGACATTACGTATTCTTTAACATTATGTCTATGTAGAAAACATTTAAATTTGTAATTAAAAAAATTAAAATGGTGTTGTTTTTCTTGGCACAATTTCACTGAGGTTACAGGAATTACTATAGAGTACTTTATAGTTCGATAACACTGCTTCACATTGGCATTGTACCTCACTTGAAAACTGCCTCATTCCATCTTTTTTTGGTGTGAGAAATTGATTTTTATTTTCACATAAAAATCATAACTCAGTTTTAGTTTCAAAGATATATTTATTTTTTGCGTGCTATGGGGAAATTTCCTGCTCCTGGATTGGTAGGATTGATTTCGATATGTTTATCGTGGGAAACGACTAGCTGTGAATCACAGAACAATTTTTCTGACAGCTGAATGCAATGTTTACATTTCAAAACCCCATCAGATGATTCTGATATTTCTTTCGAACAAGAAGAACAAAAACTACACTTGCTTACTCAAGCTGAACTTAGTGACTTGATTCGGGACCTGGATCTGCCTAAAGAGAACCAGAAGTTTAGGAATCAAGATTGAAGTAATGGAACGTCAGAAAGACTTGATCCTTTTTGAAAAAGTGTGAGAACCTTGTTGCCTGTTGTGATGTTCCAGGTCTGATGACAGCATTAAATCTCAATCACAACCCTTCTGAATGGAGGATGATCTTAGATTCATCAAAGCTATCCCTCAAAGCAGTTCTGTTGCTCAATGGCAATTCACTTCCCTCTATCCCTATTGGCCAAGCTGTCCACATGAAGGACACTTACGAAAGCATGAAAATCCTTCTTAAAGTCCATTAAATACCTGAACTAACCAATGGAAAATCTGTGGGGACCTGAAAGTGGTGGAAATTTGTATAGGCATGCAACAAGGATATACTAAGTACTGTTGTTTCTTATGTGAGTGGGACAGTCGGGACAAAGCATCTCATTACATGAGGAAAGAACTGCCTCTAAGAGAAGTCCTGACCTCTGGACCAAAAAATGTTCTCTACAACCCTCTTGTGGGCCCTGAAAAAATCATTTTGTCTCCGCTACATATAAAGTTAAGGCTCATGAAAAATATTGTCAAAGGGATGGACCAATCAGGAGAGGCATTCAAGTACTTGAGAGGAAAATTTGAGTGAAGCTAAGGTTAAAGAGGGTGTATTAACTGGTCCACAAATCCGTGAGGATCTTAATGACAGGGAATATTTTTAATATTCTTTAGGGCGAAGAAAGAGCAGCGTGGGAAGTATTTACAGTTTTAGTTCATGGTTTCTTGGGTAACAAAAGAGAGGAAAATTATGCTGACTTAATTGAAACCCTCTTTCAGAAGTACAGAGATCTCGTTTGTAACATGTCATTCAAGATTCACTTTCTTCACTCCCATTTGGAATTCTTTCGTGAAAATTGTGGATCTGTAAGTGACGAACATGCTGAGCGATTTCAACAATATATATATATATATATATATATATATATATATATATATATATATATATATATATATATATATATATATATATATATATATATCAATAAGAAACAGGCAAAAAAGAGGCAACACCAAATATATTTATATTTCTTATTATACGAGAGTCTAATTTCACATGAAGATAGTGATTATCAGTGCCTTATATCAATTATTAGTATTCAGGTTATAAACATTTAATAATAAGAAATAAAAACAACAACAACACTTTAAATAACAAGATAACTGCAGCTAGCAGTCCATAGAGGCCGCGTCGCTCACAAGTACCAAATATTTTTATAATTCACTTTTCCTTTCAAACAAGTACAATGAAGTAGTATTTTAAACAATGTCATTGCCTTGATTCGGTGGATTTTATTTACTTGTTCAAACTAAAAAAAAATTTTAAAAGTTTATTTTTAGTAAGAAAATTTGATTTATGAAGAGAAGAATAGTTGGGGTGCTCAGTCAAAAAGGAGGGCAAAAAATAAATTATAATATTTATTTCTTACATATGCCGACGTTTCGACCTGAAGTTCAGGCCTTCATCAGGGCTTTCTCCTTAAGTGTCAAGGGGAGAATGAATTAAATTAAAAATTAAAAATTAAAAATCAAAAATTAAAAATTAAAAATTAAAAATAAAAATAAAAATTAAAATTAAAAATTAAAATTTTGATTTAATTTACTTGGAAACATATGATTTACTTTAAATAATGTCAGTTTTCGTAGATTATTATTTATATTTTTTTCGTCACTCTCCGTTACCTTATACAACTTTATTTAATAGATTATTAGATCAAGAATCTGTTGTATTATAAACATAACATGTTTTTTAAAGATTAACTTCAAGTAAAATATTTCATTCTTAGGTTAATTCTACTGTAACTGAGTTTTTTGGCTGTTTTTCTTGTTTCTTTATTACACTGTCCTATAAACATTCTTTTTTTTTTTGCTTGTATATTCGATGAAAACTGTTTCTCTTTACTAATTTTAAGATGAGAAACTCGAATTTTCACTATCAGAATCCTTCCATTAGCTACTGTTCTGCAGATACGTATATCCAGAATCGAATACAAAAAATTTAGTTATTGGAAGTCAAGTGATCATCACAAAACATTAAATTATAATTACTCTCGGCACAAACAGCCGTACAGTTTATTTAGAACGTTTCTTCTTTTCTTGACGATCGTACTGATGTTATGGCAAATCCCTCACAACATTCCAACGAGCATTGAAGTATCCCAACTTGATATCTTCGTTCCATCGAGGATATATTTTGGTTAAATCGCTCACCATGTTCGTCACCTACAGATCCACAATTTCCGCAAAATAATTCCAAATGAGAGTGAAGAAAGTGAATATTGAATTACATGTTACAACCGAGATCTCTGGACTTCTCAAGAAGGGTTTAGATTAAGACAGCGTAATTGTCCTCTCTTTTGTTAACCAAGAAACCACGAACTAAAGCTGTAAATACTTCCAACGCTGCTCTTTCTTTACCCAAAAGAATATTAAACAATTCCCTTTGACCAAAGTTTTCATGAGCCCTAACTTTATATGTAGTGGCGGCAAAATGATTTTTTCAAAGCCCACAAGAGGGTTGTAGAGAAAATATTTTGTTTAGGAGTCAGGACTATTCTTTGAAGGCATTCTTTCATCATGTAATGAGATGCTCTGTCCTCAAATAACAAACAACAGTACATAGTATATGTTTGTTGCATGCCTATACAAATTTTCACCACTTTCAATGTCCTCACAGATTTGCCGTTGTTAGTACAGGTATTTGATGGACTTAAAGAAGGATTTCCATGTTTTGGTAAGTTACCTTCATGAGGACAGCATGACCAATAGGGATAGAGGGAATAAATTGCCACTGAACAACAGAACTAGCTTGAAGGATAACTTTGATGAATCTATGAACAGCCTCCATTCAGTAGGGTTGTGATTCAGATTTAATGCTCTCATCAGACCTGGAACATCACAACAGGCAACAAGGTTCTCATACTTTTTGAAAAAGGGATCAAGTCTTTCTGATGATTTCTGTACATTGTACAAATAGGGATTATCAGCGCCTTATAACAATTATCAGTATTCAGGTTATAATAATCATACATACATATATGTATATATATATTAATAAGAAATATAAATAAAAACAACAACACTTGAATAACAAGATAACTGCAGAGATAGCAGTCCATAGAGGCCTCGTCGCTCACAAGTACCAAATATTTTTATAAATAAAAGTTCATTTTGTCGGCGATTTCGAACGGAAAATGAGTTAATACCAATTTTTTGATGTAACGTTTTTTACTTTCACTTACCTATATATGTAAGGGAAAGTATCGCAATCGTGAAAATTTTTGAATTTGAGTTTTCAACGGTAATTCACACGTTTTAAGATACATTAAGTCCAAATATCCTAGTCCCGAAATTTGTGTGTTTATGTATATGTGAACACTAGCTCAAAATCGAAAAGTCCTAGGAAACTAACCAGTCACCTAAAAGTACTTATGTTTTCTGCAAAAATGAATGCAATCAACTGTTGGAAAGCTTTTATTTCTTGTTTTTTCGTGGTATGGAATGTACTGTAATAAACTTTAATACAGTTTTAATACAGGGCGACAAAAAAAAAAAAAAAAAAAATATGGTGCGCGCAACACACTTACTCTTTGAACTTTGAATACAAATTATTTTCTGGCCATGTTAGGCTATTATAAAATATTTTAAATTGCATTTTAAACTGAGCTAAAGCTAAAAAAACACAAATGCTATTAAAATAACAAAAGTCCTATTTATTATATCACCGGTTGATTATGAATTGTACGATTCGTTGATTATGGATTGTTCGATCCATTGATTATGGATTGTACGACTATAAGTCATTAAACTGTTATTTTCCATTGCAAAGTTTATTAAAACGGAATTAAGAGATTTGCAGTGTCTGTCATAGACAGGTCAAAAGTTGTCACACTAATTGTAAGTGGATTCTGTCGGAATATCGCAAAAAGAAGCATTATCAAACTATTCACTAATTTAATTTTCTAAAAGGTTAAATGATGATTTTTCGGAATAAACGGGCGATAGATATCTAAATATTTAAATATATTATGAGATCTAGAGTTATTAAACTACAGTAAATATATTTAGGTTTATAAACGTATCTATGAAATATTTTTGTATTTCACTTCTTTTTTTCACACAAGTACAATGAAATGGTAGAGGAATATCACAAAGAGAAGATCTATCGAATTATTCACTAATTTAGTTTTCTAAAAAGTTATATGACAATATTTTGGAATTAACTTTAATACCTAATTATTTATAGAGAAATACTCTTTTAAAGTAATGCTGCCCTACTTTTTTTTTTTTTTTTTTTTTTTTTTGTTCTTCCCTACCTCGCCTTTTAGGCTATACGGGATTTTCCCGGGCCGGAGGGTGAGGGCGGGGAATTTAAAATCCCCTCCGGCACCGGGACGCGAACTCGTACTTTTTATATCATCTCAAATCTCTGTTACCCGGTTGCCAGGCAACTAGCGGTGCTGTTACACACGCTTTAGCCTATTCGGCCATCCCGCCCCTAATGCTGCCCTACTACATAGGATTGCTTCGTACACAGCATACTTATCAATCCATACGGACATTAATTTTATATTATATTTTTCTTTTTTTTTTCTCCCCCTTCATAACAATACTCTTACAAATTATCAACAATAAGCCATATTAAACAATAGACATAGCATAATAAACACTTTCCCAAAATAAAAAAAAATTCCTTTTTTCTCTTTAAATTCTCAAACGCCAGGAACGCAATATAACATCGCACACATATATAACACAGCAATTCCTTGAATATAGCCAAAAAGATAAGACGATTATGGACCAATTTAAAATTTAATAAATAATTACTAAACTACAGTAAATGTATTTAATATTATAAACACATGATTTATACATTCATGAAATGATTTTATATTTTATTTCTTCTTTCCCACAAGTACACTGAAATACTTTTTTTAACAATACTCTTAGCCATCAACTTGCTTAGGTGGATTTTAAATACATTTAAAAAAAATTAGCATTACCTTATTAACACATTCAAAATTCAAAAACCGAAACAAAGGATATAACCATTGCAGCAGAACGAATTAAAAAAAAAATAGAGACCATATCTTACTCCTAATTATCCGATTTTAACGATTTTTTTTTGTTTTTTAGGCTATTCCATAAACTTTTAGAAAACCATAGAAACGCACAGTCCATAGCTACGTTTTTCTGCATTTTTATTTTTTTCTCCTTTATTAACTTATCAAATTCTTTCAACAGCTATATTTCGCATTTTTTCGTAACTCTGAATAATGCGAAATAATTATCTTTTTAAAATAAACCATATTAAAGGTACTTTAGAGGAAGACGTGTATGAACATTGGGCATTTAAGCCCTGTAAAGTGACATCAATGGGGATAAGACCTAATTTATATTAAAGACCATTTAATTATACAATGATACACCGAGTTTAATAAATATCGTTAGAGCCGTTTTTGAGAAAACTGTGAAAATGTGTTTCAGCGTTGATATAAAGTGGCACTTCCGGTTAGCCGATTTTAAGGAAAACGTTGCCGCCACAACTAAGGCATATATATACCTATCTTAAATACGTGATATCAGTTTCATTGGACTTTTCGTTTTTGAGCTAGACTGCTAACATACAAACACACAGACACATAGACACACAGATCATTTGTCGGGACTTGGTCATTTCGACTCAGGGTACCTCAAAACGTATAAATCCGTCGAAAACTCAGATTCAAAAATTTTCTCGATCGCAATACTTACACTTACTATATATTACATATATACGTAAGTGAAAGTAAAAAAAAAACACAAATCATGCATGACTTTTTTTTTTTAACGGAACTTCGCTGAGTTTTTCTGCTCAAGAGTCCTCATTAAATTTTTTTAACAATGATCAACTTTATTTTAAAGTTAATTTTGTCTAGTTTACTATGGAGCAGTGTTTAGTTACTTAAATCAAATATTTTTTATGTTATCGCTTCTTATTCAACAAAAAATATAACTTGCTCAAGAAAACACACCCTGTATATATATATATTTTTTAGAGCATGTTTGTTCAATAATATAAATAAAATGTAGTTTTTAATTTCTTTGTTAGGAAATTACTACAAACAGATACGATTTAAAGAGTTTTGTAGCTTAATTTCACAAATAATCCTGTAACTGTAGATATATTAAATTAGTTAGTTGTGGCTTTGATATATAAACAAAAAAAAATAAATAAAAAGGATGTTTGGTTGGTTTACGGTTAAAATAAGAAAAATAACCACAGTTTAAAAAATAAAACACTTTTATTTATTACAGACTGGAGCAGGATCAAATTCAGCAACACACTGGAATTTGGGAACATCAGATTAAGCCCAGCTTTAATCAAGTATTGATTTTCTCATATATTTGCCATGGATTGACTGCTGCAGGGCAATCCTCTCAGAGAACAGTGAAGCTCAATGGAAATCTCGGGAACAAGGAATAGAATCGAAGCAGTTTGCCTCTGGTAAAAGTCACTTCAGGGCATCAAAATGCTTAGATAGTAGAAGATTGATTATTAATTTGTCATTTACTATTTATTTTGTGTTCCTGGGGTTCCCTGAGTATGGTAGTGTCCATTAATTTTAGAATCGTTTACTAAATTTTGTTGAAATTCAATTATTTAAACTATTTTGAACACAGCCACTGAATAGCTCTGCTACTTATATTTTTCATCAACTTTTGACCTGACGAAATCTTTTGGGTTTGCATTTAAGACGCACTGATTACTGATTTGGCCGTCTCTGGGAGAAAATAACCCGCCACAGCGCCCAAGAGGGAGATAATAGTGTAGAGAAAGAAGTTGTACCGTATACCAAGAGTCTCGTTGATGTTGACGAAAATTTTTATACAGATAAATCCAAAAAAGTTTGTCGAGAGCTGGGAGAGTCCATTGGCGAAAGCTCGCAGGCTGGTTGGGAACAACTCCGAAGGGAGAGTCATCATGCAGGGGTTGATACCGAGTGAGCAGACAGTGCAGAAGCCGAACAATCCGACGTAGAGGAGGATCTTTTCATGACATATAAAGTAGGCAGCGAGGATTGAGGTGAAGACAGCTGCGCCAATCAACGAGCCCATCAGCAGAGGCCGCCGTCCTACAGGATCCGCCACAAACGCAGCAAAGAAGGAAGTAACGGTGAATATCAAGCCCATCTGTACGGCCACCCACTGACCACCCAGGAACTCAACTGCGTACACTGACATAGATGATGCTCCGTTCAATGTGCTGGCACAGCTAAGCATCTGCAAAGAATGAAGATAATCTATTTTAACAACAGTATTAATATATTGTATATAATGTTTGATATCATCAGGAATAAAAGTATATCCAGCTTTTAATCTTTGTTTTTACAATAACTTTGTTAATAAACACTAAAAAAATGTAATTAAAGATGTCAGGTTTTTACATTTGCGAGGGCAGAGATAGAAGATGGCTTATGGTGATAGGGTTTTGATTCATATGCTAGGGGGTGGATAAGACTACTAACAGTTGTATTAACTAGTTCCGATATTAGTAAAGGTGGAGGAATGATTCCAGCAAGAGGACATGTTGATCTTTTTTTGCCTGCCCAAATGACGACATAACAATAAATATCCATTTTGACTCCATCTAGGATCTTTTGTTTTTTTTGTTATATAATTCAGTAGTCGCCAATTTCGATTCCACTCCTCCCATTCCTCTATACAACAAAGTCATCATATGGTAGACGAAGTATCCTCTGTTTGGAGCGCGGAATGTACTGTACGGGAGTCTTTCTCGACGTTGAACAGGCGTTTGATAGAGTTTGGCACCATACTTTCTCACTATCCGTTCTTACCTCACTGATAGATACTTTCAAGTAAAACACAACAATGTCTATACATCCCGCTTTTCCCAGTCTGCTGGTGTTCCTCAAGGTAGTACCCTAGGTCCTATCCTTTACACAGTCCATACAGCTGGCATCCCAACCCATCCCAACACTGTCATCACCACATATGCCGATGACACATGTCTCCTGTCAGTTAATAACGATCCATCAATTGCATCCCAAACTCTTCAATCCCACATCACAAACCTTGAAGAATGGTGTCAAAACTGGAGAACTAAAATAAACTCCAATAAATCCCATCAAATCACCTTTATCCTTCGTCCTAAAGCAATAACTTCCTGTCCTTCCCTATCCTTTAACAACACCTCACTTATTCCTGTTGAACAAATCCGTTACCTCGGACTACACCTGGACCAATGCCTAACTTGGAATCCTCATACCAGACTGAAACGACAAGAAACCGCTCGATGTTTCCGACTACTGGAACACTCAATAGACAAACGCTCTAACCTTATTTATTTTTTTTTTATTTATTTATTTACATCCCTGCCGTGCCTGATAGGCAATACGGGTTTTAGCAGCAGTGAGATGTTAAGCGTTTCCGCGTAACAACACACTGCTGCTAGAAAAACAATATTTATAGACTGGGTCCATATTTCGACTACATTTCTTCTAAGTTTGGTCACGGATTTCTTCTGCTACTCCGTCCGGCGGCCTTCCAGGCGGTGCAGCTCCTCTTCTTCCCAAGTAGAAATGAGTTGGGCCTATAATGGATTTCCATTTTGCAATGAAATCTATAAAATGAGGATAGTTTTCCTCACTCATGAGTTGAGGGAGCTCCCTTTCAGTCAAAATGTAGAGACCGGTTTCCCTGAGCAGTTTTGCTCTCTGTGCCTCATAGGCAGTACATGCTACGACAATGTGCTCGGCAGTCTCTGGGACTCCGCAACTGGGGCACAAGGGGTCGATATTCTTTCCAAATTGGAAGAGCTTTGCTCGGAAGCCCCCGTGTCCAGTGAGTAGTTGGGAGACCCAATAACCAGGTTCCACCCATTTTGCTGCTAACCGGGAACCGATGGTGGGAAAATATTTTCTAAGAGTACTTCCTTTCGGAGTTGTTACCCATCGCTGGTTCCATTCGTCAAGGGTGTACTCTTGTATTATCTTTTTCCATCTACCTGGCTGTTGGTTAATCTTCTCACGGAGATTTTCTGGTAGACCTGCCGAGCCTTCTCTTGAAAGCTGGTGCTTTAACATGTCTTCCTGCAACAGGAGGTCGAGAGGAACACCTCCTGCCAGGACCTGTACTGCCTCATGAGACACTGTCTTGAAAGCTCTGGTGACGCGCAGCAGAGCCGTCCGCTGAATCGAAGCCAACCTCCTCTTCTGGTGGTGCGAGAGATGCAGAAACCAACCTGGGGATGCGTACCTCAGAATACCCAGAACTACACCTTTATAAATTGTCTTAGTCGCTGGGTATCTGAGGCCCCAAAATGCACCCCCGATACGACTGAGTCCATTAAGCGCTAGGGTCACCCTACTTCTCAAATAGTCCAAGTGAGGTGACACGTTGAAATTTCTTCCTATTCTGACTCCGAGGTAGGTGACAACCTCACTCGGACGAATTCTCGATCCTTGGATTATCATTGTAATAGGGTGAGCCCTATCAGTCTTGCCTTTCAAGAGGATAGCCTGTGTTTTAGCAGCTGACATCCGCAGTTTCTTCATCTCGCACCATCTTTCTATCAGGTTGGCGCACCGCTCAGCTTCTTCAAACGCTCTAACCTTCCAATTAATTACAAAATACTCATATTCATGCCTATAATCAGGCATATTTGGACTTATGGGTTTGGGCTATGGGTCTCCACCTACCTTCAAATTCCCCCCAACCGTTACAATCCAAAATCCTTCGTAAAATCCTCAATACTCCTTACTTGAATAATAAAATCATCCAAAATGACCTTAATATTCCTTATGCTTTAGATTTTGCCCAATCCAGATATCTATCCTTCCGTAATAAACTTCATAACCATCACAACCCTCTTTTTTCTAATCTTGCTTCCTATTCAACTCCTGATAACCCTCCTTCTGAAAAGAAGATGGCTTCGTGATCTTCTAATATAGACATATTATTAGAGTGCTACCAGCGGGTAGTTTCCCAACATGTGTTTCATGTCATTATATCCATGTACGAATTTACTAGATGTATTTTTTTTATACAATTGTAAATATCATATAAATAATAATAATAATAAAAAAAAAGAAAAATCAGTAGTGATGACCATTCAATACTCAGCAACGCATACCGATCACAATCTGCTGTATATTGTTGGACAGTTCCCTGTTTTTGTCCGCCCAATGTAAGTCGTAGAGAAAATTATTTTAGGATGATATTTGTACCTAGTAGAAGTTGCAATCATTAGAAGAAAGGGGTACATCTTATATGAATGGCAATTTATAAATCTAATACAATCTAGATATAACTATATTACCTGAAGGCATATCATGTACTTCAAATAATTATTTGTCTTCAGTACTGCCCATATCGAGGGTTTATCCTTCGATTCTTTCTCCTGAGATTCTTTCATGGATTCTTCCAGTTCTGCTATAGAATCCTTACCACGCAACTTGGTCATGCAGTCCTTGGCTTCCTCGTCCCTTCCCTTGCTCATCAGGTAGTAGGGGGATTCAGGGGCGAATCCAAAGAAGACGAAGAATAATATTGGTATGGAGCAGCAAAACCTTGTGTAGTTAGTGTAGGAAAGTTGAGGACCGATGAGATAAACCAGCAGTTGACCGACGAAGAACATCGTATTAAGCTGGCCGACAATGGCTCCTCTGATGTTTGGCGGTGAGATTTCAGCGGTGTAGATGGGAGCAACACAGGGTACTCCACCCAAGACAATGCCGCCGAGAACCTGAGCGACATATAGCGCCCATTTGGACCTGGTCATCATGATCAAGACCGAGCTCAGTGCTGAAGAGATTCCCAGACCAAGGAGAACGGTTTTCCGACCAAACCTGAAAAAAAAAATGGTTGGTTCAATAAAAAATGGAGCCATAACCGCAAAATGTTGGCCTATTTATAATAAACCATAAAACGTTATAGAAGGATAGGGTATATCAGAAATAATTAGCCCCTTACTTTTGTCCTAAATTTATTTAACTCTGATATAATCAGGTGTTTGCAAACAAAAAGAGTTACTACATTTTAATTTTTATTCTACTTTCATTTTTATATGATAAATGTATGATATGACTACAATTGATATTAACTAAAGTTTTAGTATGCAATAAAAAGAAATAGCTACAAAGAACGAAAACAGATTTATCAGAAATTTATTCTATCCAAGACAAACTTTTTTTTTTGTTGTTAAATTTCATGCAGTTAGTAAACGTCCCAAATAAAAAATTATTACCATATTTCTTCATATTTTTTGTTAGGAACCTTTTTTACGAAGGGAAAACTTTTCACAGCCAAATAAGTAAGGTTTTTCCGATATTTTTTTGAAATGAAAAGTTTCAGAATGAGGGGCAAGGATAAAACGTGGGACAGACCGCTGTAAGGATAATTATTAGTGTTGCCCATAATGTCATTAGTGTGGCCTTGGTCTTGGTCTTGCAAAGTGCAAGACCAAGACCAAGGCCACCTAACTGTTGCAAGAAGGGCGGGGTGGCCGAATAGGCTAAAGCGTGTGTAACAGCACGGCTAATTGCCTGGCAACCGGATAACAGAGATTTGAGATGATATAAAAAGTACGAGTTCGCGTCCCGGTGCCGGAGGGGATTTTAAATTCCCCGCCCTCACCCCCCGGCCCGGGAAAATCCCGTATAGCCTAAAAGGCGAGGTAGGGAAGAACAAAAAAAAAAAAAAAAAAAAAAAAACTGTTGCAAGACCAAGAACTACTTTCCCTTGCTCTTTTATAAGAAAAGGTTAGCAATAAAATATCTTGGGAGGGAGATGGGGTAGGTTCTTGCGCCATCGACCTTGAGATCTAATGGTCTGGGAGCAAGTGCTTCTTTTGCTGCTTTATTGGCCATTTTATTGCCTTTTATAGCAACATTTTCAGGTACCCATATGTCATTCAATTAGTATTAACTGATTTCCCGTTACCAGTTATAATGTTTCCTATTTCCAGTATTCGTTGAATCCCTGGATGATCGGAATACCTGTTTGCTAATGTGAACACGTTATTAATACTCACCCGTTCCTCTGATTCTATTTATAGGTTGTTCATGTGATTTTAACCAACCTACTAATATGAAGAAATATTTTACAGAACCCATATATTAATCTTTTTTTGGATCAAGATAAAAACATCTTCAAAAGTCTAGTATAGACCCCTATGGTATGGTATAGACCCCTTTTTATCAAATTAATAACATCCTTCTAAAACTTCGTGAATAGGTTTATACCACCATTTATTGCTTCGCTGAAGACACTGCTATTCTAACTTCACTCAAAAATCCTACTGTCGCATCAATTGCCCTAAAAAACCATCTTCATGATCTTGAAAAGTGGTTTGAAAACTGGAAAATCAAAATTAATAGTAAAAAACCCACCCACGTTAGTTTCTCTCTCAGGAAAGCCTCATGTCCACCCATAACGCTTGCCAATAATCCAGTGCCTTCAAAGAACTATATACGGTACCTTTGACTCTACTTAGACGAAAGGCTTACTTGAAACATACATACGAAATTAAAAAGACAAGAACTTACTAGACGATATAGCCAACTTTCACATGTTCTGGACTACAGATCTTCACTTAACTTACGAAGCAAGCGACTGATCTACAACACCTTACTGGGACCAATATGGACATATGGAGCAGAACTTTGGGGTTCAACAAAATACAAACAGCACAATAAAAAATTTTACGAAAAATTGTTAACGCACCTTGGTCCATTTCAAATACTACTATACATACCGACTTAAATACCCCAACAGTAAAATCCTACATCCACGATAAATACACTACATTTCATTCTTCAACCCAAAATCCAATCCTCTGGTTGTTTCTATCTCCTGCTCCCTATTACCTGAGCAACGCAGATTAAAAAGAAAATGGCCAAGAGACCTACTATACCAATAAAGACCCTATCAAGCAAATACACCAAGACAATAGAAAAAATTTGCTAGATGCGCAGCCGCGCAGGTGCAAATTGCATAAAATATAAATAAATAAGGCTTATCTCATTGTAACCTATAATTTTTTTAATTACGAAAATTCTCGGAATCGGGGCGCTTTCATTCTGTATATCGGCAAAATTTGTCTATTTATTTAAGTATTTTAAAAATCATGAACCCGCATTTCCTTTACAGTTGAATCGTAAGATAAGTTCAAATCCTACAAAAATATTGGCCCGCTTGACGTAACCTCCATTCCCAATTTCTCAAAGTAATAAGATTATATAGACCAAATGGTCCAATATTTTTGAAGGCCACCAATATTTTCGATTTTGTGATAAAATTATCTTACGCTTCAAGTGGAAAGCAACTGGACATTAGTTTTTAGAACCTCATTAATGAAAAAACGCTCCATTTCTGAGAATTATCGTAGATAAAAATATCTTAGTTCACAATAGTTGTCACTTCTTCTTCGGTGCAGACTATTTATTTTCAAGTTTATTAATTATGAGCCAATTTCACACCAATTTTTAAATTTGACAACTAATTGACTACACATCTCAATTACGACGTTTCGGCTAGTTGAGCCATTTTCAAATCTAAATTTTTTTTTCAATTTACAATTTTATTTAAACTTTACATATTTTAAAATATAAAGATTTTTTTTATATACCTAAATACCCATCATGAACCTGTCCTTTTCACTTATGCGAATTGCATGCGTCTACTCATAATAAAATTTTTTATTCTTGTCATGTCCACCTTTAATTATTTTATAACATTATAATTACTCAATTATTTCTTATTGAATGATTCAAATAAGTTAAAATTACTTTACCATGCGTCACCCACATGTCATCAGTCTCATTTCTATAGTAGTCTTCCCTTACTCTTATAAGAATAACCATTCACTGAATAGAAATGTTATAAAATAATTAAACAAGAATAAACAATTTTATTATGAGAAGACGCATTCAATTCGCATAAGTAAAAAGGACAGGTACATGATGGGTATTTAGGTATATAAAAAGAATCTTTATATTTTTAAATACTTAAAGTTTAAATATGATTGTTAATTGAAAAAGTTGTTTAGACTTGAAAATGGTTCAACGAGCCGAAACGTCGTAATTTAGATGTGTGGTCATTAAAAATTGACAAAATTTAAAAATTGGTGTAAAATTGGCTGATAATAAATAAACTTGAAAAAATATATCTTAGGTTACAGTAAGATGAAGCCATTCAACATTGACTTAACAATATAGAATAGAATAGAATAGAAGAATCAACTTTATTCTGGGACAAAGTCCCTTAAGAATAACAATTTTGTACATAAAAATTAACATTCCATCTGGCCAAAATACATATTACAATAAAAAAAAATAACTAAAAACTAAGTATTTACATTACAGAACGTGACTAGACATCTTTTCCATGCTCAAAAAAGAATGTATAAATAGAGAAAAATGCAATTTTGTTACATGATAAATGGCTACCCTGCTTCTGATTGAATTGTAAGGAGGAATTGGAATAGGAGGGTTTTAAATATGGATAGGGTAGTAGAGTAGAGTAGGATAGAATTCCAAAAGGTAGTGGAGTGGACAATAAAGGAGTGTTGAAAGGAGGCAGATTTGTGGAAAGGGGTATAAAGGACGAGATCTTGTGGAGAGGGAATGGATAGAGATGACTTGAATTGAAGGAGATTGAATGCGTAGGACGGACGATGATTATAGATTATTTGGTAAAGGAATGTATCTAGGAAGTACTGCCTTCTGAAGGAGGGAAAGAGCCACCCTAACTCGGCGTAGTAGTGGGAAACATGAGAACGTCTCGGGGTCCCATTGACAAATCGTACTAAGCCATTCATTATTCTTTTCAGTCTGTCTCCAAGTTCCGATGAGAGGCCACCGTACACTACGCAGCCGTAGTCAATGTGGGGGGAGATGAGGGCGGATACTAGGAGTCTACGTGTGGATATGGGTAGGAGATGGTGGAAGCGATGGAAGAGTTTCAGGGTGGAAATTGAACGTCGGGATATGAGGGAAATATGGTGATTCCAGGAAAGGGTTTGATCTATGATAACACCTAAGTTTTTAACTGAAGTGTTGAAGGTGATATATACATATATAAATATAGCTTAAAAGTTATCACCAAACTCGCCATATATCACCTATGTACGTTATGACAAGCAGTAAGATGTTATAAAGGTTAATATTATCTTATTACTTACATGTCGGCTAGCATTCCGCTTGGAATAGCCACTACTCCAGCGCCGATGGCAGGGATCGCCACCATCCAGGATACCTCGTGTTCTGTCATTGGTACCTCGCTGTCCTTGGAGGAGTACCAGGCGGTCAAAGGGGATGGCCAATTCATCGCAATGCCCGCAATCATCATGCTCAGGTGGCCTACATTAATAAATCAGCTCGATATTAACCAATAAATCATAACTTTATAGGAATAAATTAAAACTTATATATTAAATGTTTTTTCAATAATATAAGTTAGAGTCGGTAACTCGAATTACGCAGAGAGAGATTGATTGATTTTCATTTTTCTTAAGACCTTTGGTCCTTTCTTACAGACAAAAATACTAATACACTTAGAATTTGATAATTTTCATTACAATATACATTGTACCTTATTTACAATATTTTTTGTAATTTACAACGAGAGAGAGACAGAGCGAAAGCAAATTACTTAGTTTTCGAGGTGAATGACTAAGGCCGACACTGATTGGAAATTTAGTGATTAATTTTTATATATGCCATTTATTGATACCATACATTTTGGAGAAAACCCCAAAGAAATAGTTTATGTGGCCCTAAATTCCTGCTAAATTTCTTGTAGATAGCTAAAGTCTAAAAACATAGCCGAGCTTATGCAAATGGTTTTGGTTTATTATTTTCAATAATGAACCATTGTGATCGACCGAAAAATTCAAAAACTTAACTCCCTCTCAAAATTTGAGGTTTCACGTTTTAGGATGCGTTGAATTCGAAAAACGAATAAAAATTATTTTGTCCGTCCGTCGTCTGCCGACCGCGCATTTTCTCCGAAACTACTGGACTGATTTTTTTTTCAAATTTGGATATAAAATCAGTGGTCACTCGAGGATGATCCTTCTTTATCGACATTACTTTGAGCCTTTTACATTCAAAATGGCGGTCGAAAAATCTGCATCGCTATAGACTGTAGCTCCTAAACGAATGTACCGATTTCAAGGAAACTTCGCCAGTCATTTTCCCGATGCCTTTTAAATGTATCTATAAAACATACTTCAACGAAAAGAAGCCGGAAAAAAAGTTACGAGGGATGGTAAAATTAAATTCTGAATACTTCAAAAATTATACACTGTTTTGCCGATATTGTGATAAGATGCTTCAAAGGTATGGTTATTTAAAAGTTTATGGAATTTAACCAAACAAAAAAAAAAATTGTTAAAATCAGTCATTAGAAACAAAGTTATTGTCTCTAGTTGTTTTTTATATGTTCTACTGCAAAGGTTATATTCTTTATTTTGGTTCTTGATTTTTGAATGTGTTACTGAAGTAATGCTAAGTTTTTTAGCTTATTACTAATGGTTAAAAAAAATGTTTAGTCAAATAACTGGAATCACCTTTTATTTTTTTATTTTTAACTAGGAAAGTAATGTTACTTTACATGTTTAAATCTTTGGAAATAGTAAACCATTGTGAAATAATTTGCAGTGTTTTTTGGATTAGTTCGAACAGCTTGGCTCTTAGGTGTTCTATCCCCATACTTAAGTAGCCTCTCTTCTTTGAAGCCTCCCGGTAGCTATTTCCATATCCAGAAAATTCAGTTCTTCAACCTCAAGCGGGTTGAGGTCCTCAGTGTTGTCCACTTCTTACTCGTTTGTGGACTGCGCTTGATTGAGAATCTGAACATGTTCCTTATAAATACTAAGGCTATTTCCTTTTGATGCTGTTAATTTCCCATTATTCTCGTATGCGAATTGCTGGTTTTATATTCCAGCCTTTCCTTCCTGATGTCTGCGAAGAATTCACATGTATTATGAGCCTGTGAGTTTTCCTCAATATTTTGCAATCTGAGGAACTCTCGTTTGGCTGTTCTTATTATTATTTTATATTTTTCCTTATGGCTATGCATTTGTCCAGCGTTGCTCGATCAGTGTTATCAAGATAGAACTTGTACTTTTATTTTGTTTCTTCCACCGTCTTTTCGGCTTCTTCTGTAAACTATTTCTTAGCTTTCCTTTTTTTCCCCGTATCTCTATTAATTCCTTTGCTGTCTGTTTTATCTTTGACTTTGGTGTCTTTCAATGTTAGGTCATTATGAGGCCCACGTCCAAGGGTTCGAATTCATTTCTAAGCTCAATTTGGAATACTACCTGTATTTTAGTATTTTTTAGATTATGGAATTCATACCTCTTTCTTTCTACTTGGTATCCTATTTGGTGGATTCGCTTCAGTCTCTGATAGAGTTTGATTCAAATCGAGTGTTTTTTTCGGTTGACTCTTCAGGCGTTGTAGATCATTTAATGTCTGAATCAATCAGCCTTTTCTACCTCTGCCTATCTTAAACTACTGCTTTCCACTTTTCCTCATGTAGCTTTGCGGTATCTTTCTATTGAGAAAAGAGTGGACGTCTATGGAATTAAAGGGAATTTGTAGTTATCTAAAGTGAAAGCTCATCCCGAGAAATTTTACAAATGTTTTAATATTCTCTACTGTACCTTGAACGAAGTATAATGTCGGATAACAGAAGAATGATGTAACTTAAATAAACAGAAAATATTTTCTGAATAACGTCATTTTTTTCCCGGTAAAAGCTGGTCGAAGTGGTTTGAGCGGGTAAAATACGGAAATAAAGCGACGGTTAAAGCGGAGGAAAGTGGTTTGAGTTGGTCAGGATGGCTCAAACCGCTTCCACCGATTTTTATCGAAAAATATCTGGTGTGCAGAGTGGGAACTAGAATTTTTCGAGGAGGTGCAAGCTTAATTTTGCCGTTCTAGCTTTAGATAAATAATATTTTATTGTTATTTTAATTTTTTTTTTTTAAACCTCATTATTATTTTTTGTTTGGCTTTATAAACAAACAATTTAATCATGTAATAGTATTTATTGTATAAAATTGCATACCATTTAATGGCTGTTACAATGACTTAAGATTTTTTTTTTTAGCTTTTAAAAAATGGGCTGAAAAAAAACTATTACGAACAAGTAAGTACACCTACAGGAAGGTTATAAAACTTACATAAAAACGAATACGATTTATCACTGTTAATAAGTGGTTCGGCTTTAATGACATTTATTTTTATTTTGAAGGACGTTTTAGAACCCTAAAAGCAAAGGGTTAAAAATGACAAAAACTAAGTTTGTGTAAACGATGGTTATAGCTAAACCTCTCCTGTAGTTGTAATGATTTTCTGCCATGGGAAACTTTCTTTTTTTTAAGTTTTCACGATGTCTTATGCTACTCTGACAGATGAAATGGATTTTAACATATTTGAAAATGTTTTAAATTACTTTTAGAATGATGAGTTTCTCTTATTCCCTTTTACAGTCAACTAATGGTGAAAAATAACCACTAGCTTATATAATATCTTATATTATATTATATTAAGGTTTATTAATGGGTCATGGAAGGAGCTTTTTGTGGAAATATTATAGAATTTTATGTACCACCATCAATTATAGATTTAATGTAAAATTGGACATGTTTAAGAAGACATGTTCACTGGCGATTTTTTTATTGACAGTATTTTCAAATATGTTGAAAGTGCATATCGAAGAACTCAAATATGTTAAAATACATCGAAATGTATCCGTACTATCTCAAAAACGGTAATATATATATATAAAAAAAAGTATATATTTTAGTTTAAGATGAAATTAGATCAATAATAAAAGGTTAAGGCTATGTTTGTTCCACAATTTTTATAACTTTCTCTTACCTATGTATGGAATTTAAAGTAAGGAAAAGTATTGCGATCGTGAAAATTTTCGAATTTGAGTTTTCAACGGAAATACAAATTTTGATGTCCTCTGAGTCCAAATGACTAAGTCCCGCCAAATATTCTATGTGTGTGTGTATGTGAACAGTCTAGCTCAAAAATGAAAAGCCGTAAGAAACTGTTATTACGTATTTAAGTTAGCTATATGGCTGAGATATCAGAGAAATTTTTTGCTTAAAATCGGTTGAACGGAATTGGCACTTTATATCAATGGATATACATATTTTTATATTTTTCTCAAAAACGGCTTTAACGATTTTGAATAAGCTCGGTGCATCCTTGTATAATGAAGTTGTCTTTAATATCATTGATATCTCCCTATTGATGTCGCTTAATAGGATTTAAATGCCCATTGTTCAACACGTCTTTCTGTAAAATACCGTTAATTTGGTTTATTTCAAATAATTAACTATCTCTCCTTGTTAGGAGCAATGAATAAATGCTAAATATAACTTATAAATGAATTTGATGGTTGAAAAATATAAAAAAAATGGATAATGTTTATTTAGGTCTAAAACTAATCTCCGGAAATACTTGTCAGAAAGTGTAAGTTTAATATATCACTGGAAAGCTGAGAATTTTAGAAAAAAACGATATCTAATATAAAAAATCGTAGAAGGTAATGGAGAGTACCGAGAAAAATATTTCTGAAAATAAAATTATTTAATGAAAAACATCATTATTTAACGGAAAAAATCACAAAGGTAGCGTTCTATGTCACAAACGACTTATTACACAAAGACTTGGACATCCAAACGGTTGCAGACAGTACAACATAGTATTTTAAAAACTTCCACCAGGGAATGGCTCACAACACAAACCCATTAGCCCAAGATCTTATTTTAACAACGAACCCTTACATCCCATTTCAAAGATTTGAGGCGGTTGCCCAGAGATTTTCATAATTAATATTTATTAATTAATTAAACAATGTGTACAGTATTGCTTATTGCAAGACCTTTGCAGATAGCAAATTTTAATCCTCCCCAAGTTATAATTATTTAAATAAAAACAAAAAAGTTTTACCTATAACTCTTATAACAGATTTTCCTTTATTAAATACTTCATTTTTGCAGGGTATTAAATAAATAAAATTACTTAACTGCAAAATAGGACTCGCTTGACAAGTATTAACGAAAAAAAAGACTAAAAAAAATAACAATAATGCGAAATTGCTTGAGTAGATAGTATTTTATTAACTTATTTATTATTTAATAAAATCCATCAATCCTAATAATCATTGAAAATGTTAATCAAATGTCTACATGAAAATATAATATCAAATATCATGAAAATTATATCTGTTCTGTACCCAAAAAAATATTATACAGGAAAAAACATATGAGGACATAATTTTTAAAGTAAATTGACTATATAAATAATAATAACTATTAAAACATTGTTGTGTG